AGCAAAATATGGCAAGTGATAAGCAGGGAGGACAGAGCCTACGCATGCAAGGGAATGATGAACCACATGACTCCACGGTGGGGATTCTGACCAGCAAACTGTGGTTTGGAAATATGTCTGAATTATTGTCATGGCCAGCCTAGCCTGAGACTCCATTTCTAGCAACTCGGCTCAGCAGTCATTTGCAGCGAGTAATTCGAGAGACTTTTGACATACCACTTCTTAAAACACCTCCTGGCACCTTTCCTGAAGGACGTGGAGAATGTAGCGTGCTTCACAAAACATCTGAGGGGAAAGGGCATGAATGAGTTTAAAGCCAGAGTCCCTTTTATGAAAAAAAGAATTGGGGTGGGTGGGGGAGTAATCCTGCCTTACAGATCTTGCGATTGACCTCTGACATGCGCAGTGTATAACTCAATGGGAGTACGGGGGTTTGAGCAATTATTCTAGGGCTGTGTTCTGGCCGTTGACATATTCCCTTCTCAAAGGATGGTCTAACAAAAGCAGTTGCTCATAAATTTGGAATGGACAGCGAGGGAAGGCAGCTCATTCCTAAGTGATGGGTCCTGGATGATGGAGAGAGAGAGAGAAAGAGAAAGAGAGAGAAAGAAAGAGATCTTATAACTGACCCAAATTGCTAGGAATTGATTTGGCAGACAGTGCATTGACATGTTTGAGTTCTGGGCAATGAATGATTGAGAGATAATTGCCAAAGATGTAGCACAGTGGTCAAGGTTTGAAGAGAGAGGGGGGGGGAAGAGAGAATTATCCTTCCTATCAAAATGCCCATTTTATATTCAAAATAGATCACCCCACTATTCATAGACATGTTGTTGTTTAGTCGTTTAGTCGTGTCCGACTCTTCATGACCCCATGGACCAGAGCACGCCAGGCACTTCTGTCTTCCACTGCCTCCCGCAGTTTGGTCAAACTCATGCTGGTAGCTTCGAGAACACTATCCAACCATCTCGTCCTCTGTCGTCCCCTTCTCCTTGTGCCCTCCATCTTTCCCAACATCAGGGTCTTTTCCAGGGAGTCTTCTCTTCTCATGAGGTGGCCAAAGTACTGGAGCCTCAGCTTCCGGATCTGTCCTTCCAGTGAGCACTCAGAGCTGATTTCCTTCAGAATGGAGAGGTTTGATCTTCTTGCAGTCCATGGGACTCTCAAGAGTCTCCTCCAGCACCAGTTCATAGACATAACCCACAGTAGCATGCGTTAAACAGAGTCAGGCCATTGGCCCATGTAGTTCAGCTTTGTCTACTTACTGGCACAGGCTATCCAGGATTTCAGACAAGGGACATTCCCAAAACTACCTAAAGATGCTGAGGAGAGAAAACCTGGGACCTTCTGCATTCATGAAGCTATTTTTATTCTTGGGAATCTTATGCTACCTCTCCCTACGCTCCCGTTAGATCCTCCTCAGCTTTCTCTGTTTTAAAGACCTCCTAAACCTCACCTCTTCACTCTGGTATTCTCAAACTGAGCTTCCTTCTCTCTGCCTTAAACCTCCACAGAGACCTTGTAGATCCTCTGCAACACTAAGCTAGACTTACCAAGCATCTGACTCCTGTGTTCCTATGTGATTTCTCTCTCTCTGTGTGTGTTTTATATAAATTCTGTGTATTTTCTCTGTTGTGCAGCTTTAAAGGAAAAGCTCGACTCCAGAGCCGTCTGATAAAAAAATGTCTTATGGTTCCATTGATGGGAGTGGCGTTGGAAACAGGAGCACCTTTGGCGGGCCATCGAGACAAGGATACCAACCTTTAGGTATATTATTATTATTATTATTATTTATTTCATTGTTATTATTCTGCTCCATATGCAAAACCCCTAAGTGGTTTACATAACGTACAGTAAGATCGTTTTCAAAAAAGGAAAGGGAAATTCTATATGCAGCTTTATAACAAAAATGGTAAAGAACTGCATCAATAAAAACAGAGAATTTTATCAATAAAACTTCCAGTAAAATATCAATAAGTAATAATAATAAAACACAGCAGCATGATGAATCAGTTGATCCAGGCAAAGCATGTTTAAATAAATGGGTTGTCAGGAGGAGTTTGATCCTTCTGCCCAGGAAAAACACTCCCCAAGAGGGTTTTCCAGAGAGTAAATGGTAAAGGACCCCTGGATGGCTAAGTCCAGTCGAATTTGACTATGAGGTTGTGGCGCTCATTTCACTTTCAGGCCAAGGGAGCTAGTGTTTGTCCACAGACAGCTTTCCGGGTCAAGTGGCCAGCATGACTAAACCGCTTCTGGCACAATGGAACACTGTGACAGAAACTCGAGTGCACGGAAACGCTGTTTACCTTCCCACCACAGTGGTACCTATTTATCTACTTGCACTGGTGTGCTTTTGAACTGCTAGGTTGGCAGGAGCTGGGACAGAGCAACGGGAGCTCACCTCATCACTCAGTTTCGAACCGCCGACCTTCCGATTGGCAAGCCCAAGAGGCTCAGTAGTTTAGACCACAGCGCCACCCGCATCCTATAGAGTCGATGGAACCCTGGCCTTTAGGAATATTGTGTTAGCTTTCCCAAATATAATGCTAGTACTTGTTCCCCATTTTCTAACATTCCTTTCACACTGCGTTACCTGTTGTGTTATGGAACTGTGGCTTTTTGAGCAATATAGGTAAAGGTAAAGGGACCGCTGACCATTAGGTCCAGTCGTGGCCGACTCTGGGGTTCTGGTGCGCATCTCACTTTACTGGCCGAGGGAGCCGGCGTACAGCTTCCGGGTCATGTGGCCAGCATGACTAAGCCACTTCTGGCGAACCAGAGCAGCATGTTTTTTCACGCCAGCAAATGTTGTGTAACACAGCAAAAAACATCATTGGAGCATGCCGCTGTCCTCCACCCATTCCACACATGCTTGCTTCCGTTCTCCCATGATAGTGGATAGCTCAGCTGGTTAGAGCATGGTGCTGAGAATGCCAAGGTTGCAAGTTCGATTCCCACAAAGGACAGCTGCATTGTCCTGCATTGCAGGGGGTTGGACTAGATGATCCTCAGGAACCCTTCCAACTCTACAATTCTTTCATTTCTATGGAAATAGTAGGAAAGAACTATATGGCAATATACTGCCCTAAATTCCATCACTTTAAGGGAGCTGCAAATAAGCATTAAGCATTCACTAAATTCCCTTAGTTTTCCAAAAGTGGCTTTTACGTTATATGAAAGTTAAAATATGTGGAAATTAACAAGGAAACATCGGGGAAACGGAATAAATATTATGTGAATGCAGTCTTAAGCATCATTCTTCAAAACAATGCCTTGGGATGCTACTAGACCAGGCATAGGCAAACTCGGCCCTCCAGATGTTTTTGGAACTACAACTCCCATCATCCCTAGCTAACAGGACCAGTGGTCAGGGATGATGGGAGTTGTAGTCCCAAAACATCTGGAGTGCCGAGTTTGCCTATGCCTGTACTAGACTCTGACTTCCTCCATGCCCAGACAGCAGATCCAATGGTCACAGGCGACAGGAGATGCTGTGTGGCAACATCTGGGCACTGAAGGCTGAAGAACATGTGGACTCATAGAAACATAGATTTGTAGAGCTGGAAGGGACCCCAGGGGGCATCTATTCCAACCCCCCGCAATGCACTCATCACAGCTAAAGAATCCTTGACAGATGGCCACCCAACTTCTCTTGAAAGACTCTCCAATGAAGGAGAGTCCATCACCTTCCAAAGGAGTCTGTTCCGCTGTCAAACAGCTTTCACTGCCAGAAAGTTCTTCCTCATGTTCAGTTCGGAATCTCCTTCCTTGTAATTTGAATCCGTTGGTTCGGGGCCAACCCTCTGGAGTCGCAGGAAACAAGCTTGCTCCCTCTTCCATGTGACAGCCCGTCAAGTATTTGAAGATGGCTGTCATATCAACTCTCAGGAAGATGTGGAAGGAACTGGCAGCTTCTTTAATATGAAAACAGAGGCAAAGGGAGTGAGTAAATGAATGGCTCCGGGGTTTTGAGGCCGGGTGGCGAACGGGGAGGTAAACAATATATCTCTGGGGCTGGCATGAAGCGTGGCGTGTGGGGGAGACGGTTAATGTCTGCCTCGCTCCACAGTCCTTCCACGAGTCATTGCACGGCAGCAAAACACAAGCGATTGACACTCATCGGGTGACAACACAGCCGATCACCTGAGCTTGCCGTCATCTCTCTTGGCTTTCATTTCCGGTCCATCACCGAGCCGTCTGTGGCTCCCCCAGATTTCCCGGCACGTCAGATTGAAGCGGCATATGCCCACGCTGGGAAGTTTCCCAAGTCGTCACTGCCAGTGATGGAAAATGTCAGTCCGTTAAGTAACAGGAGCTAATTTAGAAAACAGTCTTCTGCCTTTTAAAGCCATCTCCGTAGACGAGATGACTAATTTAGAAATCCCACACTGCAGTGTGGGTTAAGGGCCTCTTCCCCAAATGTGTCCCCCCCCTTCATATTCCGGCAATGATCAAACATGTGCACGATACGTCGTGCCTCTTTTGATAGGCACACACATCTTCCAAATATTGATTTTTTTACGCAGAAAATACTTGCAGCACAGGACCAAGAGGTGCCTGGATTAGGAATACCTGCTCAGAATCTGGCTTCTGAGTATTTTCTGGGTAAAATACACCTCTATTTATGTCATTAAAGGTACACCGCTTGATCGTAAAAAAAGAAAACCCTGAAGTGGTTCGCAGAAAAAGTTAAAACAATTGAATTATCAGTAAGGAAGAATGCTGAACTGCCTTAAAGGTAAAGGAAAGGGAACCCCTGACCATTAGGTCCAGTCGTGACCAACTCTGGGCTTGCGGCTCTCATCTCACTTTATTGGCCAAAGAAGCTGGCGTACAGCTTCCAGGTCATGTGGCCAGCATGACTAAGCCACTTCTGGCGAACCAAAGCAGCGCACAGAAACGCCGTTTACCTTCCCACTGGAGTGGTACCTATTTATCTACTTGTATTTTGACGTGCTTTCGAACTGCTAGGTTGGCAGGAGCAGGGACAGAGCAACTGGAGCTCACCTCGTCGTGGGGATTCGAACCACCGACCTTCTGATCGGCAAGTCCTAGGCTCTGTGGTTTAACCCACAGTGCCACCCGCGTCCCTAGTGCCACAGAGACAAACACTTGGCCCATCTAGTACAGCATTGTATGCACTGACTGGCAGTGGCTCTCCTGGGTTTCAGGCTTACTGGGAGATACCAGAGTTTGAACATTAGACTTCCTGGTGACAGACAGATGTTCTACCACTGAGCTTTGGCCCTTTTCAAGCCTTGCAAGCCTCTGCTTCATAGACACCTCAGTGAGACCTCTGCAACCCCGGGGAGGCCGGTATCCTATTTATTAAGTTGCAAGTTCAGTATTGGCGTATTGATTTTGCAATTGGGCTGTTGCATTAATTGTCCCGGTGACCACAATATATTTGTTTGTTTATTTATTGGTAGTTAAAGATTGGAGCGGCTGAAACAAAGTTATGAAGTCGTGTGTACAGTCGTACCTTGGAAGTCGAACAGAATCCGTTCCGGAAGTCCATTTGACTTCCAAAATGTTCAGAAACCAAAGCACGGCTTCTGATTGGCTGCAGCAATCTCCTGCAGCCAATCAGAACCCGCAGAACCCGTGTTGGATGTTGAAAAGAACATTTGCAAACCGGAACACTCATTTCTGGGTTTGCGGCATTCAGCAGCCAAAACGTTTGACTCGCAAGGCGTTTGACTTCCGAGGTATGACTGTACGAGATTTTTCGGAGTTTTCACAGCTCTGCCTGGAAATGCCAGGGACTGAAAATGTGAGTAATGTTATTTTTTATTTTATTTTTTTCATCTCTACCACTGACCTGTGGCCCTTCCCTTGATGGTCTCCTAGTTTTCCCCTTTTCTGCAGTTAGAAGTCAGGACCGTCTATATATAAGAGAGTCCATTTGCTTTTTAGTTTGCTGCCAACACCCATCTGTCTCAAGAGACAATGGAGTGCGCCTCCAGGGATGAAGTCAAACCCCTGCTTTAGCAGCATTGAAGTGACCTCCTTGACACGCAAGCCTGGGCAGTGTGTGTGGAGGTCCTGGGCTAGCCAAACGACAAAATCCCCACTTGACCTCAGCAGTCACCTGGGCCTGTGAGCTGACATTTCATATTTCCTGCTATGTGATGCATTGGACTCAGCTACACTTGTCAATTATATCGTTATAACTGCGTTATAAACATGTGACACCAGGTGGCGATATAGAGCAGTGATCTGTTGCCAATGGGATTTTGCATTAAGAACTTTTATAAAAACATCTTGAAGGTCCCAGGCCCCAGAGAAGTTAGGCTGGCCTCAACTAGAGCCAGGGCTTTTTCGGCTGTGGCTCCGATCTGGTGGAACACTCTGTCACAAGAGACCAGGGCCCTGCGGCACTTGACATCTTTCCGCAGGGCCTGCAAGACAGAGCTGTTCCACCAGGCCTTTGGCCAGGGCACAGCCTGACTCCCTCCCTCGGCAATCTTCGCGGAGCTCTGGCCCAATGGTTGCCAGTGGCTTGAATTAATTAATTTTATAACGAATGATTTTAGACTGTTGTTTATGCTGTACTTTTGTACTGTTTTATTGTTGTTAGCCGCCCTGAGCCCGGCTTCGGCTGGGGAGGGCGGGATATAAATAAAATTTATTATTATTATTATTATTTATACCGTTTTTTTAATCAGTATCGATGCAGCTCCAGTGAGGAATTTAAAATGGCAGCTAATCATCACTCCTTGTTGCCACCACCTAAGGTGTGCAGCTAAGACCCCACAGGCATAGGACAAGTCCCATCAGAGGGGACTTAGACTGGGGTCCTCAGGCTTGGAGCTGTCTTTGGTATAATCTTGTGGTTTCCAAAGTTTTTTCAACCACAGCCACCTTGGTTCCATGAACTCATCCCCACCGCCCCCTACCCTATTAAAAACATTATTCATAATAGCAGTTTGCATGTTCCACTAAGGAAGATAATAATGCAATACAGTACATTTCTGGGCACAAGTCAAAGTGTTGGTGTTGACCTTTAAAGCTCTGAACGGCCTCGGCCCGGTATACCTGAAGCAGCGTCTCCACCCCCATCGTTCTGCCCAGACACTGAGATCCAGTGCCGAGGGCCTTCTGGCGGTTCCCTCACTGCAAGAAGTGAGGTTACAGGGAACCAGGCAGAGGGCCTTCTCGGTAGTGGCCCCCGAATGCCCTCCTACCAGATGTCAAAGAGAAAAATAACTACAGTGGTACCTCGGGTTAAGAACTTAATTCGTTCTGGAGGTCCATTCTTAACCTGAAACTGTTCTTAACCTGAAGCACCACTTTAGCTAAGTGGGCCTCTTGCTGCCACTGCACCGCCGCTGCACGATTTCTGTTCTCATCCTGAAGCAAAGTTCTTAACCCGAGGTACTATTTCTGGGTTAGCAGAGTCTGTAACCTGAAGTGTCTGTAACCTGAAGCGTCTGTAACCCGAGGTGCCACTGTACCAGACTTTTAGAAGACATCTGAAGGCAGCCCTGTTTAGGGAAGCTTTTAATATTAGATGAATCATTGTTTTTTAATATTTTGGTGGAAGCCACCCAGAGTGGCTAGGGAAACTCAGCCAGAGGGGCAGGGTATAAATATTATTATTATTATTATTATTATTATTATTATTATTATTATGCAATTCAAAATGGTAACAATGAATTGCACATTTATTCACAATCCACTTAAAACTATAGTTTAATTCAGCAAAAGGGATGGACTTGATGCCAGCTTTTCAAAGTCCCCACTACTGCCCCTTGCCTCTTATCAATCCCCCCCCCCCCGTAATCACTCTGCCCCACCCCCAGTGGGAGGTACCACTCACTTTGGGAACTGCTGACTTAATCCACCTTTCTCTAGTCGTCTCTAGATTCAATGAATCACGCTCCCTTAATGTTACATTGTCTTTATCGTATGACTCACCATCTACTCCCATCATTATGACGGCTGTTCCTGCCTGTTTATATGCTTTGTTTGTCTGAAGTTATTTGGTCTTCCTGAAGTGCAAAGGAGGGGAAAGAGATGGGGAGCAAACTTTGGGAAGTCTGACAATCATCCTTGCAGTCTCCCGCCCACCCACACATGCACACACAGCTTTGACTGACAGGTGTCGAATGGGAAGACACTTGTAGCCACTTTCTTGTTGTTTTTCAGCTTTGTCCAAGGTGAACCTGCCAGACCCAGATGGCTTTAATCTCCAGAGGGTGGTGAGCAAGCTTTTGCAAGACTTGGAACCAAACATTCTCCTTTCCTCTTTAGTTTGAGCAAACCACAATTTCCCATTACGTTAGGATGCTGGGAACTGTAGCTTGTTCTGACTGATGTTGTTGTTGTTGTTATTATTATTTATTAAATTTATACAGTGGTACCTCAGGTTACAGACACTTTAGGTTACAGACTCTGCTAACCAAGAAATAGTACCTCGGGTTAAGAACTTTGCTTCACGATGAGAACAGAAATCGTGCTTTGGCGGCGCGGCGGCAGCAGGAGGCCCCATAATTTAAAGTGGTGCTTCAGGTTAAGAACAGTTTCAGTTTAAGAACAGACCTCTAGAACGAATTAAGTTCTTTACCCGAGGTACCACTGTATACTGCCCTTCGTCAAAAGATCTCAGGGTGGTTCACAGAATGAAATACAAGATAAAACACAGACAAATAATTAAACCAAAACAACAAAACAGTATCTCTCCCCCCCCCCCCCCAGACACATTTAAAAGGCTGTAGGATATTAATCAGCCAAACGCCTTGTTGAACAGGAATGTTTTCACCTGGCACCTAATATATATATAATGACGGCACCAGGCAAACTTCCCTGGGAGACCATTCCACAAATGCGGAGCCACTACAGAAAAGGCCCGTTTTTGTGTTGCCACCCTCTGGACTTCACATAACGGAGGCCCACAAAGAAGAGCCTCAGACGATGAACACACAGTCCGGGATGGTCTATATGGAGAGAGGCAGTCCCTGAGGTATTGTGGTCATAGCTGTCAATGTTTCCCTTTTTTAAAGGGAAATCCCCTTATTCCGAATAGGATTCCTCGCAAGAAAAGGGAAAAGTTGACAGCTACGATTATGGTCCTGAGCTGTTTAAAGCTTTATAGGTCAAAACCAGCACTTTGAATTGGGCCCGGAAGCTAATTGGCAGCTAGTGCAGTTGGACCAGGATCGATGTGAGATGCTCAAACTGTATTGCCCCAGTGAGCAACCTTGTTTGCCAAATTCTGCACCAGATGAACCGTATGTAGGCAGCCCTACGTATAATGCATTGTTAGTAATCCAGCCAGAACATAGACAACAGAAATTAGGCTATCCTTGTCCAGATAAGGGTGTAGTTGGGCCACCAGCCAAAGCTGATGGAAGGCACTCTACGCCACAGAGGCCACCTGAGCCTTGAGTGACAGCAAAGGATCCAGGAGTACCCCCAAGCTATGAACCTGCTCCTTCAGAGGAAGTGTAACCCCATCAAGAGCAGGCAACCTCCTAGCCATCTGGTCTAGGGAACCACCCATTCACAGTGCCTCAATCTTAATCTGGACTGAGTTTCAGTTTGTTGGTTCGCATCCAGTCCATTACTGTGGCAAGACGCTGGTCCAGCACTTCCACTTCCTCACCTGCAGATGTAAAGAAGAAGCAGAGTTGTGTGTTGTCAGCATATTGCTGACAACATGCTCCAAAACTCCAAAGGACGCTGCTCAGTGCTTTCATGTACAGTGGTAGCTTGGTTTAAGAACAGCTTAGTTTATGAGCAACTTGGATTAAGAACGATGCAAACCCAGAAGGAGGTGTTCTGGTTTGTGAACTTTGCCTCGGAAGCAGAACATGTTCTGCTTCCTATTGAGTGTGTTCCATTTGTAAATTGAGTCCCCCGCTGCTATGGGAAAGCAGGCCTTGTTTTAAGAACACTTTGGTTTAAGAATGGACATGCAGAGGGGCCGGGAGGCCAGCTGGCAACCCCAGCTCGGATGACTCCTTCCATCGGCCCGTGCTCTGATGTAAATCAGCGACCCGAACTTCAGGGCACACAATTAGCAGAGTGTAATGCGCACACAGAAGTAGGTGTGAGGCATAAGTCATGCTACAGCTAAAGATTTAATAATAATAATAATAATGAATAATAATAATAATAATAATAATAATAATAATAATTTTATTTATACCCCGCCCTCCCTAGCCAAGGCCAGGCTCAGAGCGGCCTACAAGCAATAATAAAAACAAGTTGAATGATTACAACTTAAAAACAACATTAAAATAT